ATAGTTTATTGGACAAAATAGAGTAAAAGTCATGTTATTTGTAATACCCCAAGAGGTATAAAAAGACTTGGTTTTAGGCCAAGTCAGAATCATCATGTTCATAACAATCTTTAATTATTGATCTAATAATTAATACTTCCTAACACACCTGTAATAATATTATTATTATCGCTAATAAAAACACATAACATATTTTACCTTTAAAAATAATAACCTCTAATTAATTAATAAACCACAAAGGGGAACCTTTGCTAACTATAGCAAGTAGCCAACATTGTAATTATTGGGAAACATCTCAAGGAGATGCCTTTGGTATATAATTACATATATAGAACCTAGGGACTCTTTTATCTGAAAAGATAAAAGTTATTTCTATTAAACTTTGACTGTAAGTCAGCAGGTAGGCTGTGTGTTGAGCTATAAATAACCTATTAAATAGGAAACTCGGATTGCAATATCTTACCTTGAAATTATTTTTTATTATCTTCATATACATTTAATAATAATTCATTAAATTGTTCATTTGAAAATTTAGGAGATACAATAGAGTCTTTCATGATGGATCTTGAATATGATGGTCTTTACAGGACATGGCCCTTTATGAAAACAAAAATTGTAGTAGACAGACTATCTGTTCCACTTTTAGGATCTCTACACTGACACATTTAATTGCATTAGAGGTATGAAATGTGACACAGTATTAATTTTATGATACATTTTTGTTCATGAACTTATAACACCTTTGTACCTGCAGGAACAAGTGAAGCTTTTGGCTGAAAATTATAGAGCACATCCCAAATACTTTACACCATCAAGAAAATCAACATACATTCGAAATCTTCCAGTTTCTCCCCAGAAATATTTGATTTAAAATTTATCTTAAAAGGAAATAATTCTTAATATAGCTTTTTTCTTTTTTTCACATTATATCAAAAATTCAAAAATATAGCAAACTTGAACATCTAATGTTACTAATGATATTATATAATTAAAAATTCTAGCATAAAAGAATTTATCAGAAAGATTTTTTTAACTGAAGTATTTAGATTATACTTGCCGAAATTCCCGAATTATGGCAAACTCAGCATTACATATGTATAAGCCATAAATAATTTTCAGCATGAGACCCTAAAGCCATAAAAGTTGTAAACCGTAATGCCATAAAACCATAATGCCATAAAACCATAATGCTGTAAATATCTAAGTGATGTAATCATTAAGTAGGTTACACGCTATTAAAACAAGTGATCAACACATGTCAAAATTATAGATGTTCACCATAATTGTTTTTCGATTTCTATAATAATAACATTATGGATCTGGCGAACAACTATGATCAAAACTACAGTCTCTGACTTAAAAGATGAAGATTTTGCCAAAGCTGCTGATGAATATAAAAACAATATTTCAAAGAATAAAGTAAATTATGATGATAAATCTGATTATGAATAGCAGGTATAGCTTTTTTAAGTTTTATAATTGCTATGACTTATGTTATTAGGAGGACTAAAAAGAAACAATACTGCAATAAATCAACAATGTAACAATGGGATTATTTTCCTTTTAAGGATTTTTGCTTTTTATTAAGTAATAATGCATCATCATGATGCTTTCTTTTTCCAACATTTATTATTTTTCTTTCTTC